TTTCATCATCACTGCTAAGAACTGCAACCAAAATTTCGAGGGTGATGGCAGTGAGTTCTTGATTCGATCGTTCCTTCTCCAAAACATCCATGTAAACATTCAGACCCATTGTTCCAACAGCTAACCGAAGTTTCTGAATTGTGGTAATTGTATTATTTATTTATTAGTCACGTAAACAAATAAATTTTAAGGTTACTTCTAGGTACGATCAAATTTCAGAAATGTTTTATGGTAAATTGAATGATAAAAGATATTCAGCTGTAACATGTTTTAAGGCACTTAGTTGCATAACTCTAATGTTTGATTGTTATTCAGCTCTCGATAATTTATAGAGATGTATCTTGGTAACATTAATGCTAAAAATATGAAGGCATTTCACCCCTTCTGCTCTCATTGATTTCCTCTTTATGTGGGTTCCCAAAAGATAGATCTCATTTTCTCAAATGTTGTCAAATCACAAAACCTTAGCCATGCTCCTTAATGCTCTAAGCGCATCTCTTCGATCTTCCAAGGCTGTACATGTTTCTGCTCTTTCTACCATTTTCTCCACAATTTCTGCTCCATCCTCTTCTTCGGAATCCACCCCGCCGCCGCCGAAGAAACTGCGAAAATACGCCATCTGGAAAGGAGTGTAATAGCCGACTTTTCACTATAATAATTGCATCAGTAACAAAGGATTGAAGAATTTGTGGAAGAGAGAGTTAAAAACATTTTTTAATCTGTGTTCTGAAAGACGGTAAATAGCAATCCGCTATTAAAAAACCCTCAGTAAGTTCAGCAAAAAACAAGAAATTCGATAAGTCTAAGCACAAAGTAGTACTTAAGAAAACGAGTTTGGTGTATCTCTGTGCGGGAAATCAAGGTTTGGGAAAAACATAAGACTCCACAGCGTACGCAGTGTGAGCAAAAACAAAGAAACATCGTTTTCGCCGGAAAAGCTCATTGCATAACAAAAGTTCAGAAAATGAACTTCTATTCCACGTCACTCAAAAATGACTTTACCAATTCACAATATCTTTAAATTTAAAACAGCAACATAGTCAGCTAAGTCTTTCTGCTATTAGATTCAAGAAAGAAAACATCCATCACTAAGACAATCCCCTACATGGAAGAAGCTAAAAGTGCCATTGGTCAGAAATTCTCTTTAATATTATTGTGCATTAATGCGCCGGCGAGATTGCGTACTTTAACGAATGCTACGTCACACCGCCAACACTTGCCAGCTGGAGAAGGCGCATCGGTGTGTTTTTATATGAAGATGCGCCTCCAATTTAAATTCTTACTTGAATTGTGCATTTTTAGGAAATGGTTGCGACTGTAACCAATAAGAATCTTAAATATGTCTCACTTGTGGTACTAATCGCTCAAACAACAGCTCTCGTGCTCATTTTGCGTTATTCACGAACACAGGTAAGTTTTCTTACACTTCATCGTAAATTTGTTGTAAAGTCGTATTTGGACTTAGACAGCTTTCTCAAATTTCGCATCATCCTAGTTCTTCAAGTTCAAGTCGTTTTTGTTTTCAGAAGCATGAAGGTCCTAGGTATTTGTCGTCAACAGCTGTAGTCTTGGCTGAAATAGTTAAGATGATCACCTGTATTGTTGTACTGTTTCATAACCATGGTAAGATGCTTTTTATTTCAATTACTACATTACCTTTTTTGACTGTAATCAATACTGATCATTTGGGGCAAAGAA